AAAAAACTTGGTTCCTTATTCATCTGGAGATGAACTCCAAGCGGAGTCATCCATCTGTTGAAGGTCAAACAATTGCAGCTTAGATTTATCAGCTGTTTATGATTAAATGACCACATGTTCGTCCCCCCAGATATACTTCATCAAATGTAAGCGATGTGAAAAACAGACAGGTAGCCTTCAAGGCTTACTGGCTAGCTCCCGTCAATGCATGTCTATGGGACCCATGTGCTTAGCAGCTTTCACCACGGCTTTCCCTTCACATTTGGTTTCGGCATAAATGAATGGTTTCACCGCTCAAGCTAATCATTACCGGGAATTATACATGATCCGCTAACCTTTGGCAATGGGAATATGTCAATCATAATGAGTGGTTAGTCAATACCAAGTGCGTAAGATCCTGCTAAACATGATCTCTCTCCCCTTGAGTGATCCTCCATTAGAATGGGCGATTGATAAAATATATGGGCGGTGCGTTTTGTTTCCAAACATTCTCTAATTGCTGCATAACAAATTCAAGGAGAAATCAACTACTTCAGCCTCAGAACCAGTTAAACTCCATTCGTAGAGGAGACAGCTACGGCTAAAATTTATTCGCTTTAACCAACACGACAAACTGAATATAGCAGAGAGCAAAATAGAGAAAACCGTATCGCCGGATTGATGAATTTCTTCTCCTTTTAATGCATATGAACAATTACATTAATTTTGCAAGTCCATAAGCTACACTGGGTCTTTGATGCAAGCCCTACACAAAGCCGCACCAATCTTTTTATTTACCTAATCCAGACTTTTTTTGGAGAAATAGGTATTCTGGCTCGAATATTTTGATAAAAATCTTGAAAGCGCAGCGGAAACAATTAACGCCTTTCGTAATTGCAACCAAGCATAGTTGGGAACTTTACTGATTGTTTATAAGATCCCTGCTTGCCGTACCTATCGAAAGCCCCATCCTTATTTACCTTACAAAGGTCAGCCAGTCGTACACGTGATTGTGGAGAAATTTTTCCTCCCTAGGCGCCTAGTTGCCTTTTTCTCCTCTTTTATGTCTGCAAACGAAGTCCTTGAATATTTTAGTGATGTTAAACAATCGTTCAAAATTAACCCTACACACCTTTCCATCTGGTTATTATACCAAAGAAATG